ATAATATATGTATATATATATTTTTTAACAAATAACATTTTTTGATTAAAAGAATTTTGATTTTTGTTTGTTTTTCAAAACAGGCTTCTCTGTGTAACAGCCTTAGCTGTCCTGGAACTCACCCTCCAGCCAGATCCTCCTGCCTCTGCCTTCCAAGTGCTGTGATCAAAAACATACAGCACTACTGCCTGACTTTTTTTTTAAAACTTTACCCAGGTCTTTGCATGGCAGGCAAGAACTCTATCACTGAGCTATATTTGTGGTTCCCTCAAAGATTCTAACATACATTTTACCATTCGGAACAAAGAACATAAGGGCTGGGATGTAGCTTATAAGTTGGTTTTACCTCATATATTTGAAGCTCTAGGTTCAACATTGCCACCCCCTCCCTAGTTAGCACCTCATAAATCTGGCACAGTGGTGCAAACCTGTAACCTAGGCACTGTAAGTTCAGCAAAAGGATCAGAAGTTCTTTGGCTTCACATCAAATTCTAGGTTAATGAGTTAGCCTTTGTCTCAAAAAAACAACAAAATACATGAATCTTAATATAAATATAAATCAAAATATAAGAATTTTAATATAATTCTTCTTGAAGCCTTGAGAATAAGGACCAGGAGGCTAGACTGCTCTGGCTCTTGGTATCGGTGTCAGTATCTTGGTGGTGATGTGCTATATTCTTTACAAGATGTTGCCTTTGAGTGAAATTGGGTACATAGGATTTCTCTATTTCTTAGAACTATTTAAATATTATAATTGTCTCAATAAGATTAAGATTAGGGTGTGGTTGCATACACATTAATCCCATCACCCAAGAGACAAGTAGATCTCTTTGAGTTCTAAGCTAATTAAAAACAAAATTTGGGGTTGAAGGGATGGATCAATGGTTAAGGACACTGACTGTTCTTCCAGAGAACCCAGGTTCAGTTCCCAGCACCCACATGGCAGCTCATATCCATCTGTAACTCCAGTTAAAGGGCTTTTGACACCCTCACACAGACACACATGCAGGCCAAACACCAATGACCATAAGATAAAAATAAATTGGCCAGGCAACTGTGGCGCATGTCTTTAATCCCAGCACTTGGGAGGCATGCAGATCTCCATGAGTTTGAAGCCAATCTGGTCTCCAGAGTGAGTTCCAGGACATCTTGGATTGTTACACAGAGAAACCCTGTCTTGAAAAATCAAAAAAATGGGGCTGGAGAGATGGCTCAGAGATTAAGAGCATTGCCTGCTCTTCCAAAGGTTCTGAGTTCAATTCCCAGCAACCACATGGTGGCTCACAACCATCTGTAATGAGGTCTGGTGCCTTCTTCTGGCCTGCAGACATACACACAGAATATTGTATACATAATAAATATTTTTTTTTTTTAAAAAAGACACCGGGTATGTTAGTCATCTGTAATGGCAAATCTGTGGCTGGAGAGACACATTGAGTTCAAGGCCAGCCTAAGTTAATAGCAAGAACCTATCTGGAAAACAGACAGGCGCTGTGAAGACGGCATTTCTGTCTCAGATAACCATGGTCTGGATGGAAACTGGACCTATGAGAAATAGGTTGATCTAGTCTCCACAAACTGGAAGAAAAGAAAGAGTAGCTGGGACTATCTAACCCAGCGTGCACAGTGTCATCCTAGGTTCTATCCCCAGTCATGCAAAAGAGAACAAAGAGTGAAGGAATCAAGTAGGGGTGTTTGCTGGATAGTAGACGGGATGGCTGTCAGGTTATGTGCCTAGTGGATTCAGAGAGAAGCTGGGCCTGGAACTCCCCTATTTCTCCATCTGAAGCCTAGTAGCATTGCTGAGCTCCAAGTTCTCAGTGTTGTATGCTGACAGAAGTACTGTTGAAGACATTCTGAATATGAAGCCCAGAGATAAGAGTTGGAACAGTGGTGGGGAGTTCATGTCTTAAATTCCAGGTTTGTGTATTGCAAATAAAGACTTGGTGAACATCTACAAGGTTTGTATTGTGGCTTTTATCTATCTTTTCATTTGGATTTTCAGGGACATGATATCTCTGTATAACATCCTAGCACTTATTATGTATTGCGGGCTGACCTCAAGCTCAGAAATCCACCGATCTCTGCCTCCTGACTGCTTGGGACTAAATGTATGTGCCACCACCGCCTGGTTATGCTGTGACTTTTAAATTAACCACAGGTAAGTTTTAGTCCATCATTACTGGTAGTATTTAATGGGAGAGTCTGTTGTGTGATGTTTTGGATTTAGGCTCTAAAACCACAGAGAAACCCTGTCTTTGAAAAAACAAAAACAAACAAACAAAAAAAAACCCTAATCTCTTCCTGCCTAGCTGTTGACCTTTCAGCTCTTTATTAAACCCATTAGAAGGCGCCTTAGCAAAGACCCATTTTTACAGTGTAAAAAAATAATTCCATGATATGTGGCCTCTTGTGAGTGCAGTGATGAGTGGAGTGGTGTTGCAGGTGGTCTTGGGCATAGAGGAAAGAGATAGACGCTGCCTTCCCACTGACCATAAACAGCGCTGTGCCTGCAACCAGATGACAAGGGTCAAAGGTGAGAGGAGGAGGGAGCAGAAGCACAAAGAAAACCGTGGTGGAAGAGCACAACTGATGTTGACTTTTTAGCTCCCAAACCTGTATTCTGTTACCAGTCACGTACTAGGAAATACCCAGCAGCCCTGCTAGTTGCGCAGGTTGTGTATGTGGAAAGGACGCCTCTTCAGATGCTTTATTTCCACCTGTTGGAAGACTGTCGATAGCTATGCGAATTAATGCTACCCACAACGAGGTCTATCTGATGGAACAATCTGTACAAAAGTTAGGCAGCCTCTTACCTTCAGCGTGTTAGGAGCCAGAGTCACAAATAATAGTTTACATGAGTTGAGTTTGAAGCCAGCCTAGGCAATATAAAACCCTGTCTCAAAAGACAAAACAAACTGGGCAGTTGTAACACATGCCTTTAATCCCAGCCTCTGGGGCGCAAAGGCAGCAGGGATCTCTGTGAGTTTGAGGCCAGCCTAGTCTACAAAGCCAGTTCCAGTACAGCCAAGGGCTACATAGAGAAACCCTGTCTGGAAAAAGAAAAAAAAAATCCTAAAATAGTCAATTGTAAGTTGTATATGAAAAGGTTTTTTGTTTTTTGTTTTTTTTTTTTTGCCAGGCAGTGGTGGTGCACACCTTTAATCCTAGCACTTGGGAGGCAGAGGCAGGCAGATCTCTGTGAATTCGAGGCCAGCCTGGTCTACAAGAGCTAGTTTCAGGATAGGCTCCAAAGCTACTGTCTTAAAAAAAAAAAAGTTTTTGTGCCCTGAT